TGGCTGAAAAATGATCCGCAACTTCTGCTGGTGCGGTCAGCTAAGCGGAGCGAAACTCTACCTCTACCGAGGAGCAAAGCAAGGTGAGGGAATTCAACAGGGTTCCTTATTACAATTATAGTGCAACATACCCAAAACCCTGTTCTAAGTATAAAGGCCCCTACATCAGGTTTTCGGGTGGTGGGTTTGGGGTTCAACGTGTCTTCGGACCTGAACTTGCTGCCCTTCTTGCAATGTCTTTGCCAATGCCTGTCACAGGCTTTCAATGACAAGAAGGCCGCACCCGAGTGCAGCAAGTGTCTCGGGTGCAAGGAGAAAGGCAAGACCCCTAAACTCCTACATAAACCTCCGCATCTTCCACCCGCCCCGGAATTCAAAAACCCTTGAGCTATAATACATAAAGCCACGGAGCTGTCTTAGGAGATCAGGATGACGTCCTCAGGCTCCAGACGAACCTCCTAAAGATGCTACTCAAAAACCTAAACCCCTTACCCCTAAACCCTGAATCCTAAACCTCCAAAGCCCTAAGGCCTTAAACCCTAAATCATAAACCCCTAAGGCCCTAAGTCTAAACCCTATAAATCCTAAGCCATAAAGATGCTCTGAAGAGCAGACATGGCAAGCTCCACGAGGTACGCTCCGTTTGAGCGGCCCCATGAGGCCCGGACGGTGGAGGGTTCAGGGTTCATGGGAGATTTATGGTGCTTAGAGGATCTAGGGTTTAGGGCTTAGGGGGTTTATGAAATTTACGGCGCCTAATAGGGGATCCAGGGAGTTTACCGGGGGTAAGGGGGCAAGAACCGAGATTTTAGGTTTACCCAAAAAGTTCAAAATCCGTGCCAAAGTCCTTGTACAACCCTTATAAAACCTCGAAGGACAAAGCACCATGACGCCTCAGTCGATCCCTTGTTGTAGCCTTGTTGGACCCCCTACAGGTACCCTAAACCCTAAACCCCAAGCCGCAAACCCCCAGACCCCTAAAAAGGAACCAAGAGCTTTCAGGGATCAACCCACAAACCCCTAAACCCTTCAACCCTAAACCCCGAAACCCTCAGATGGCTCGCTAAACCCCTAAACTCTTGTAGCACCCATGAATCGGACCCCTTAAAGGATCCCTTAACGTAGCCCTTTAAAGTTCTAAACCCTCAAGCCCTAACAGGAACCTCAGCCCTTGAAGCCCTAACCCCCAGACCCCCAAAAACTGGAACCCTAAAACCCTTATAGGGGTTTAGGGGTTTAGGGGCTTTTAAGCTTTATAGGGTTTATAGCGTTTTCAGGGTTTCCAGGGTACTTTAGGGTACCTTAGGGTTCCTCAGCGCTCTCGGAGCGTTTCAGGCCTCCCTCGAGCCCTGGCTCAAAGAGGCACAGGACGCCTTCAAGGACTTCCAGGTGGGAGGATGTCGGGCTTTGGAACCCTAAGCCTCAAACCTTTGGTCGTGAGGGTTTCCGGTGTTTTTTGAGGATTTTCGAGAATTTCGAGAGGTTCTCGGGCATTTGGGTCATGTTTCTTTGAAAAAGATGGTTTCTGCATATTATAATTTTATCGGGCTCTAGCACTGCACTTTGATAGCTGTCTTAGTTTAGAGCTTCAGGTTTAGGTTGTCGGGATTTAGGGTTCAGACTTGAGGGCTTTTAGGGCGGGTTTCATGGTCTACGGTTCATTCACGGGTTTCTGTACAGGGTTTTTTTGGAGAGTGCAACGCCCTGGTGGCG